ATCTGCTCAGTTATCTTTCAATATTTAAATAGTCAAATAGTGGCACATACATGCAATGGAATACCACTCAACAAGAAAAGGGAAAAACCACTAATACGTGTGACAATTTGTATGAATCTCCAGAAAATGATGCTTAGCAAAAAAGCCAATCTCAAAAGGTAGGATTCCACTTATATGTCATTTTTGAAATGATAAAATTTTAGAAATGCACAACAGATTAGTGATTGCCAGGGGTTAGGGATGGGGTGGAGGCAGCAAAATGGAAGGGAGGTGGGTGCAACTATAAAAAAGCAACAGAAGGAATCTTCGTAGCGTTGGAACTATTAGGGTCTGGCCTGTGGGGGGAGGACAAGTGAATCTACAAAGCTGATAAAATGCACAGAGTTTAATATAGACCAAAATGATCACAAGTAGCTCTGGGGAAATCTGAAAGAGATTTATGTTGTATCTCAATTCCAATATCTTGGTTGTGATATTATAGTTTTGCAAAATATCACCATTGTGCAATTCTGGGCAAAGTGTACAAGGACTGTCTCTATCTTGTATTTTACAACTGTATGGGAATGTAAAATGGTCTCAATAAAAGTTCCAATTAAATTTTAAAAATAAAAGCTATTCATTACCACTCCCCCAGATTGGCTCCTTTTCCCTCCCTGTATTTCTACATATACTGAATAAAATTAATTCCAATTGCCTAAAGTAGAATCTGGGAATCATTCCATGTACCTCCCCTTTCTTCTGTCTCTATATTGATCATTCATGTTTGCTAAATATAATATTTTCATATTCATTTTATTGGAGTATTAGGCTGCTTGGGAGAGACTGAATGGCTTAAAACACAGAAATTTCCTCCTAGTTCTGGAGGTTAGGACATCCAAGTTCAATACGGCAGCTTCACTCCCATGGCTATGGGCCAGAGCTTGCTTCCAGAGTTCCCGGAGGCTCCACCCTTATACCTCTGCAGGCTTGTCCTGCCCCCAAGGCTCTGGGCAGAGGCTTTTCAGCCTGTGGAACTGAGGAAGTAGCCTTGATGACTTCCAAATCAGCCTCAACATCATTGTCCCCTCTTTTGGAAGAGCAGTGCTTGTTTGTAGCCAAATAGCTCTATTGACTTGTCCAGTTAAATCTAACAAGCCCATAGCCTTTCTTCATTTTTTCCTATCTTCTTCCTTTTCAAGTTAAACTGACAGTGCTTTGGCTGGTATAATCCTAGACGCTCTTTGTGAAGTGATGGTCCAGCCACATTTTTGGTGTTCTCTCCAGAGCATACTCTATAATGTTTTGCAATATGAGTAGGCTAAAAATGTTACAAATCGTTAAGTTCTGGTTCCTTTTTGCTTAACAATTTGTTCTTCAATTCATCTGTCTCTCCTGACATTTTACTATAAGCAGTCAGAGGGAGTCAAATCACTCTTTCAAAATTTGTCTTAGAAATCTCCTTAGATAAATATCCATTTTCTTTGCTCACAAGTTCTACCTCTCAAAAAACACTAAAACACAAAATGCAAGTTGGTGGCAGAGTGTTTTCTTATGACTGTAGGATGTCAGCCCTTGACTTCTTGCTGGGTGTTGGCCAGAGGCCACTCTCCACATCTAGGGACGACACTGAGGCTCGAGGATGTCAGAGTCACCCACCACCTGGTCCTCACAATAGACCCCCTCACAATACAGCAACTTACTTCATTGTGACCAACAGGAAAGTAAGAAGGGGTCTGCTAACAAGACGTAGCCTTATGTTAATATGTTACATCCCCATGGGATTGTCACTAATCCTATTCAAGTAACCTTCCACATGATCTTAAATCCACCTTCTAAAACAAAGAGATAGGACTTAGCTTCCCAATTTCAAATCTAGACCTTTACCACCATTGTTTTAGCTCAGACAATAGATTCCTACTGATATTTCTGCCTTTATTCTTGACCTCCTTCCATGACCCTGTCTTTATAATTTGGCTGATATGTGGCCAATTCTTTATCATTTTCTCTTATTTATTTTTTTAGCTGGGGCTGGGTTTGAACCCACCAACTCTGGTATATGGGGCCAGCACCCTACTCCTTTGAGTCACAGGCACCACCCAATTCTTTATCATTTTATAAGATGTCTGAAGTGTCAACCCCTCCAGAAAGCCAGATCAAATAAAAATTATTTCCTCCCCTACACTACTGTCATTGGGTACTTCTCCATTATATCAAATTACCACACTGTGTTAAAATAATGTGTTTACATGTCTCTTCCCATCTACAATTATATCTTGAAGGTAGAAAATGCATAACTTTCTGCTTTGTGCAATTAATGCCTAATATAATATGTGACACACTGTAGTTTCTTAATAAGAAATGTGAACCAAACTATTAAACTAAACTAAAATAGTATAAGTGTGCTATCGAGGTATAATTTTTCTAAACCATCCACATTTTACAATGTAGTGTTTTTCACACCTGACTATACTAACAAAACCTAAAATTGAATCAAAGATATTAAAAAGTTCTTGTGCAACATAAAGACCCTGTATGTATTTAAGTAACTCTTTAATAAAAATAACTTTAGAGCTCAGAAATTTCAGGGAAAGAAAAATAAATAGTAAAATAATTTAAAAGGAGATGAAAATGTTAAATAAGACTCAAAATAATCAAGAAGTTTGCAACAATTCTTGCCTCCCAAAGAAAGGAATGCTCACCCAAAGATAAAAAAAAATCTTATACTAGTCAGTCTTCTTCTATTAACAAAATGATCAAAATGATTATTAAGAAGTTTGTTTAATTTACTTTTTTAGAGACAGAGCCTCGCTCAATCTCCCAGGGTGTAATCAGCTGCATGATCACAGCTACTGTACCTTCAAACTGTATCCCACTTCAGCTGCCTCAGGTGATAGAATCACAGCTCATACCCCATACCCGGCTAATTTTTTCTTTTTATTATTAATTTTTCTACAGTTATGATCTTATTATGTTGGCCAGGCTAGACTTAAACTCCTGGCCTCAAGCCATCCTCCTGCCTTGGCCTCCCAAAGTGCTGAGTGTATAGATGTGAGCCACTACACCCAGCCAGCAGTTTAACACAAAACTTGAATGCATAAATGAGAAGGAAGAAAATAGTATTTATTAAATATTTAGGTATCAAATATAAGAAGGCAATTATATCATTTCTATATCACCTTAAGGCAATTATATCATTTTAATATCTTTAAAACATTTTTGATAATAATTTGTAAATTCATTTTATGGCTGATATAAGTTCCTCAGGATTTTCTAGCTAGTAAATGATGGAAAATACTTCAAACCCAAGAAGGTCCAATTTCAAAGCCATAATCTTCCTACTTCCTCATGCTGCAAGAATACCTAGAAAATGCCCTAGATTTCAATTCATTACCAGAAACATCACTCCCTGGAATATCAGGAGGAAAGAGTAGTAATAAACAACAGCAGGCTGGAAGTTGAGGCTGTACATCCATGGGAAGCTGGGATTATTTGCATTGTGCTCTGTTTGATTTAGTTCCCTGCCAAATGTCATGCCAAAGCCTTGACACAACAGAGATTTGTGCCTGGAGCCATTCATTCCCTGTCTGGCGGTGCACATCAGCTGGCTTGTTTTCCTGGGATATTCTAAAGTCCTATCAGTCTCTGCACAGGGACTGAAAATGACTGTAAAAAATTATATAAAAAACAGGGTCAAGAAAAATCTAGGCGAATGTTTCAATTTTAGTGTCTCAGAAAATTATCCACATATGCATTGCCTTCATAGCACGCTTTGTTTTTTCTTATAAGAGTAACATGGCAGAATCCACACAGTTTGTTTGAGCCAAATGAAAAATACACAGATGTATAAGGTATTACCCCAAATATTATATTTATGTGAAATAGAACAGGTCTAAATACTGATACCATATTGATCCACATGTTCTGCATCATCACAAATCAGTGCTCAACTTTTCTTTAAATATAAAACTACTGTAACACATAGAAAAGTAAAGAATGCTGTTTCGACAATTCATGGGTGGGGTTGAGAGGACAGTGAATAGGGGAGCTGATCTGGAGAAGCTGTCGAGAAATGTCATCAGGCATTCTGAATTTATTCAACATGTAAACACCTCCAGCAGATGGACATCATACCTCTTCTCATTACCTAGTCCTGAAGCTCACTAAACTCCTTATGTGCTAGTTTAAGCAACGTTTCAGTAATCTTTCCTCACTACATCCTCCCGGCAGGACGGGTAATTAATAGCTCCTCTAAGTGACATTCATTCTGCAGCTTCATCCTTTCCCACCGCTGTGCTTCAGACTCTTAGTTTCCTTGCTCCTTATTCATAGGTTTCCATGTGGCTTTAGTCATCTTACACATTTTCTTTCCAACTCTATTAGGATTCAATTGCTACATTCCATGATCATTAATAACGTTTAACAGTAGCATTCCAGTTTAAAATAGTCACCCCCTGTTGACCTTGAAGTATCACTTTTCCCTTTCATGTAGCACATTTTTTTACCCCTTTCTGAGCATTGTGTGTTTATTTCCCTGATGGCTTCCCCTTTTCAAATTGATTATAATTACAAATTGATTTCTCTATTTTGTCTCCCCCAAAGTAAATACATTTCGGTAGCTCTTACATGATAATTTAACTCTCACATATCCTATTTCAATAATTTTATCTGAGGGTTCATTAAAGATATTTTAAAAATTGTCTTCTAATTTTTTTTAAGTTTCATATTCAAAGGGCAACTTTGAATAGTTTTGCTGCTTTATTTTACTTGCCAGGGTGTTAATGTGAACAATTCTTTGGACATATTTTGTATTTAAGACTTTCTGTCCCCCAGTAATGACATGTATTTGATAATCATATTTCTGATTCTGATGTTTTCTATTATATTTTGCTGGATGGAAAGGTACATTTCATATATATGAACATGGAATACAATGCCACATTTCTAAGCACGCAAGAGTAAAGTAATTATTATTGTAACTTTTTTGTAGTTTATTCACAGAGAAAATTTGAGATAGTATATACCTTTGTCCAAGGCACATCCTGCTATGGTCTCAGGACAGGAACCTAATGAAAAAAGAAAAAAAAAAAATTATAATAATGAACAAATTGAGAAATACCAATATATAAAATTAAGTAAGAATATGGGTAAACCTCAACTTTTGATCATAATGTATATCTGCCCATTAACTTCGAAAACCAGTCCAATTTTATGTATTTTTTTACTAATGCTCATTAAGACTAAAACTAGGATTTAAATATCCTTTTCACACTTCTCAATTTGAACTCCGAAAGATCTTTATTCATTTCTGTCTTAAAATAAATATTCTTCCCAGAAATACAAAGATAAATAATATACACAGATGTCTATCAAATGCAAAAACTCAGACTGATGACTTTTCAAAACTTCTATTTGAATTTTCAGCTTCAAAATGGAAAGATGAAGAAATAGGTTAAGTAGTTTTTATGGTAATAAAAGCCTAATAATGTTTGTTCATCAAGAAATGGCAACGAAGCCCTAATTAAACTTAACAGAGGATCATCTTCACAGTACTAATATTTTAAAAATTTCAGGCAATGAATCTAGAATGAATACAGTAATAGATTTAAATATGTACAAATGAACTTGGGCTCTTTAAAAATCAAAAGAGGAAATAGAATCACGTATGCCTGAACTAAAGCCCAATATTTCTATTCTTCCTTTTTCTATTTTATTATTCTATTAGATGCAATGCCACATTTCCAAATATGTTCAGAGACCCACCCACCTAAAGGCACAGATCTAAATCTGAGAGCTAACACTGCAAATGTGATTATGCTAATTACAAGAACTTCAATTAAATGTTGAATAAAAAGAAACATTCGCTTTGTTCAAATTTTTGGCATTCTAGCTGTCTAAAATTTCCAGATATGGGGGGGGGGAAAGAGAAAATCTATTTCATTTGTGATTTCTACAAGTATTTTGGAGCAAGAGTTTTACTGTGAATGATAAATAGCATTTATAAAGAAAAGGAAAATAATTTTATTTCTTATGAAATGTTCACACACTCAGAATGTTATTTTTTGAAGGCACCTGGGAGGATAATCAAGTAATCTGGGGATTCAAACTAAGATTTCAGGGGTTCTCATTGCTATATGGAAGCCTCAGGATTTCTTGGGCAATGGAAGAAACCAAGCTGGTCTGGACACAGCATACACATATGCACCCCCACCCCACATATAACCACTCTAGGTCAACTTCTTTACTTAGTGTCCAAAACTATAATTTCATCCCTCCTGGATTTGAATCCTAGCTCCTTGGATTACTGAATCAGCTCTGATTTTGGAATACTTACATAACCTTCTCTGAGACTCAAATTATCACTTATAATGAAGTTGTTATAAAGATTAAGTTATCACAAATAAATTGGGACATAGTAAGTAGCTAATAGACATTTAGCTATTAAAAACTATAAAACACTTAAAAATGTAAAATAGTTCTCTAAAACATTCCATTATTTTAAACATGCATGCCTTATTCATAACTTATTTCTACTCTACTGTCCATCTCTCAGTGTGAAAACCTTCATTTCTGCTTTTTCTTTTACCAATTATAATTATGTGAAAAATAATTGAGAAATAGAAGTACGGATGACAAATTTTATTCGTGAATTTAGCATCAGAGAAATCACAGGAAGAATTTAAAAAGCAGAGTCTTGGTTGGGGGGGAGGGCAAGGCATTTTAGATGGTACCTAACAGTGGTAATTCTATGTTCTGTGTCTACCTGAGTTCTGGCATGACTAGAAGGATGGAAAGTCTCCTTAAATGACAAGGACATACTTAAAGTTTCTCATATGTCAAACAAGAATCCAATTTTCTAAGTAGAAGTATATGGTGAAGAGACTCTATAAACCTCTAAGCATTACTAGAGGGGTATAAGCCCCCTAGCATTACTTCTAGGGTATAATGACTTTATCACAGAAAGACATGGCACCAACACAGAGATGAAACTGGCAAATAGACTGCAACTTCTACATCTCCTTGGCCACTAGGAACAGAACCAGGATATTATAATTTAGATGAAGGTTATGTGATCTGATTTTTCTGATAGAGACATGTACCTCTAAATGGAAATAAGTTATAGAAAGAAGGTAGGAGGAGACATTTATTTTGTAAAGATTGGTTTCATTGAATGGAGAATAGGCTAAAATTAGGAGGAAATGAGACAACAGAAATGAACAGAATAATAAAAACAAAGAAGGGGAAAAAAATAAAACATTCTCAATGAGAAAATGCTAAATGTCAAACAGAAAGGGTAGACAATATATTTGGTAAGCTATGTTTGATTAGAAACTATTTATCCGGAGTTGGTAGGATCAGTTGGCCACACGATTTTATTGTTTTAATTCAGTGATTCTCTACTGGGGATGACTTACCTCCCACCACCACTCCCCTTCCTGACACTTTTAACAACTTCTAGAGATAGTTTTGATTGTCACAACTGGAGGTGGGTATTGCTGACATTTAGTGGGTAGGTACCAGGGATGTTAAGCAGCTAATAAAACACAGGACCGCCCCTCACAAGAAAGAAATATCCAGCCTAAGGCATCAACTGTGTGCTGAGACTGACAAAACCTTCCTGATTTAGCCAGGGAAGTTTCTTTCTCAGATCACAAGATCACATCATTTGCATAGAGTGAATCTTCTAGGTAAAGGAAGATGAACCTTGGTCAAGGGGCCTGATGGAGGATATTTTAGTTGCTAGCGTCCTACTGAAATACTGACCCTCTAGCACTTTATGCAGCTACAGATTACACACCAGGTTTTCAGATCCTAGTTGCCAAGACTTTTACACTGTGCCAACTTGGACCCTGTGGGTAATTGTAATCCTGCTCCTTTTCCCAAATATTTTACAAGGTTAGAAAATATTTGAGTGTATTACAGTACTGCCCTGGAATCCAAACACTCTAGAACTTGAACAACTTGGAATGCAAACAAAAAATTCAAGCAAATTTTGCCTGAAATCGAAATACGGCTTAGGAATTCCAACGCCCAGCTGGTTGTTCCTGCGAGTTTTCCTACCTACATTTCCCCAGCACTGGGCCACCCACCCACCCATACACTTTGTCCTTCAGTTCATTGTCTGAAGCTGAAATAAAAGCACCTCATGTGATGTTTGTGGCTAATGCTATGCTTTTGCCCCCAGTTGTTTTTTAAATATATAATAATAACTAAGTGTATTCTCCATAGATCATAAGAAGTGTAGCGAGGAAAATCAGAGTCAGAGGAAAGCTGTTGGAGCTACAATTGAAGTTAAGAAGGATCTAATCACTAAGCATGAAAGAGGTACATGTGGCGTCCCTACTATGCTCGGGATGCCTAAATCCACTATTAGTACGAGTTTGAAAAATAAAGAAGCTACTAAAGCAGCTCACGTGGCAAAAGGGGTTAGGACGCTGACCTCTAGATCAAAACATAAAGAAAAGATGGAAAAACTCCTCTTGGTGTGGATTAATGAAAATCAGCTGGCTGGCGATGTGATTTCTGAGATGACTTGTGAGAAAGCCAAAGTCCTCCCCGATAATTTACGGAAGGGCACGCCTGACACTAGTGCTCAAAAGGAGGAGTTTAAAGCCAGTAGAGTCTCGAGAACTTTAAGAAAAGGACAGGGACCCATAGCGTCGTCGTGCCTGTCGAGGCTGCCTGTTCTAATTTGGAAGCAGCAAAGTTTGTAAAGGAGTTTAAGGAGTTTGTAAACAGTGAAGGATATGCTTCCAACCAAGTGTTCAATTCTGATGAAACAGGCCTTTCTATTTTTAGGTTTTTATATTTTTTATTTTATTAATTTACATTTTTATTCACATATTATTTGTGAATATTTTACCTTAAAATCCAGCGTATGTCCTGTTAAAGTCATTTTTAAAAATTTGAGTTTCTGGGACCCAGGAATGGATTAATCCAGTTTCTACTATTTTAAAGGCAAAAATTATCTTGGAAGTCAAATGATTTGGAACTCAAATAGAGTTCTAAGAACAGATCAAATTCAGATTTCAATGTATCACTCGGATTTTAGTTTTATTCTTTTAAGAAACACGAAATTCAAAGCTAGACATTATCCTCTATGATATAATTTATGTGACAAATCATTTATCGTTATTAAAAATGTTATTTTATATCATAATTCAATAGATTACAACCAAAATCATTTTTAAGGAAAATAGGGTGATTTAATCTTACTATTTTTAGCTTATACCAAAATAAAAGCCAAATTACTATAAGAAAGTAGTACCTTTTGATATATTTCTATTGGTATTTCTATAAAAATATATTACATATAGTGACTTACTGTTACCAAGGTAAACTAGTGTGTAATTTTGCCCTATTCTCATTGTGATGGCTTGAGAACGATGGATTACTATCACAAGACTCTGAGCATTCACCTGTAAAATATGAATGTTTTGCGAATACTGATTTATTGGAATTTACAACCTAAAAAATAGGCCATGTTTTTGATTGCCTCTAAGGATCTTCTCTGCAGAGTCCAAATATCTGAGGAGAAAAAATAATTCCTTAAAACAGTTTGTTACTTACATATAGATTTCTACAACTAACCAATATACTGGGAGAGGAAGGAGGAAAGGACAAAAGCTTTTTGTTGTTGTTGTCATAGGTATTATGATTTAAAACAGAGGGGCATACGTAGATCCTAACTGGAAATGGCCAAATATGCACAGCAAAGCGGAGTGTTCTGTGTTTTGACTACAATAAAAGATGTTCTCACAAAAGGAGATCTCAGTCGACAATTCACTGTGACAGATCAGTATTTTACTCCAAAATAAATAATCACCATATGGTTTAAGCCCCTTATGCCCAATAGGAATGCCATAGAGTTGGTCAAGAATTTGATATTTCTCCTGTCCTTACTGATTGTTAGTACTTAATGAATTTAACCATATATTATATCCAGAGATACTCATGAAGTCAATATTATATGTCATGCCTTATAAATATTGCTTTAATGTAATGCAATGAATAGTTATTAACACAAGCATAAGTCCATGCATATAGAAGCTGCATTTTTAAAGAA